ATGATTTTTTTAAGTAGTAAAGCTCTGCTTCATACATATCTGCTTCCAGTGCAATAAATAGCAGTCTAGGCACTGAAGGGGTAAAAAGCCTTACTGATAGACAAAGTTACCAAAAATGGCAAAGCCTCCAAAATGGTAGTTAGATCCCAGTTTTGGTGCAGTTTATAGCAGCCATCCTAAGGCAGAACAGAATGTGTGCCATATTAGCCATAATTATTATGTGAACTTTAAATGCAGTGCTCAAGACCCCCTCATTGTTTTCTTTTTACCTACTTATAAAAGGTTTCCTCTATTACTCATTGCCACCGAGTAGCTCCCACCAACCAAAAAAATGTTTTTTTCTAAAACCTAAATAATATGGGAATGACTGGAAAGAATAGCATACAGAGAGAGGATTCTCTATCAATACCCTCATTTTCCTTGATACTTCTTACAAATCACTGGTTTTTGTCATAGTAACATAAGATACATGAAGAAAATAGAGGTGGGAGAAAGAGCAAGTCCCACCATGGTAAGCTATATGTATCTCTCCTTTTTAGTAGGTGAGCCTGATAGGGGAGCTAAACCCCCAAGAGAAGCAATGTATAAAATGTAAACTCACATTCAGCTGTACAAAATACACAGTTGCAAACATTAATAGTGAGCAGTTAAGTTGTGCTTTCCAGAAACATACCTTATATATGTTCTCATTTAAAATTAAGATGAAACTGAGTTGGATTATCATGGCCGTGTCCATTAGGCTTCTTCGTCTGTAATATTCACTGTCACCAACTTACCTAATTCTCAAAATTAGATGGCTTTATTATGTAAGGTTTTAAAATGTTTTTCCAGAGACCTCAGTTAGCCCAGAAATATAATAAAGATTAACTTTTAGAACGGTATTTAATAATACTGCCATGGTGGTACATGGCTATAACTCCAGCACTCTGGGAGGCTGAGGCAGAAGGATCATTTGTCCAAGCCCAACTCAAGCCACCTAGAGACTGAGCGAAATTCTGTCTCTAAGTAAAAAAGGCTGCTTATGTAGCTCAGTGTAAAGGCCCTGAGTTCAATTCCTCATATCCCCAAAATAAATTAATTAACAGATGCTTCATAATATATAATGTCACAATATGTGTCATAAATAGTGATATATAATAAAAGGAGGTCTTTATAGAAAATAAATTCATTTTTACTTAAGAGTATTGCTCAGGTTTCTGATAATATAGTAGTACTCTGTCACATAATGTTTTATAGTTTTTTAACCTTGTACAGCTTCTAACTTGATTCGTTTGTTTTTCATAGAATCTAGGAAACCATTTAAAAATACTTATTTTCCCCAATGAGGAAGTGATTAAGTTTTCTGTAATTTGATTGTGTGTGTGTGTGCGCGCGCGCGTGCGTGCGTGTGTGTGTGTGTGTGTGTGTGTGTGTGTGTGTGTGTTTAGAACCCAGCTGACCAAAATGGAAAACTCAGTTGATCAGTTGTGAACAGTGCATTTATAGCTGCTTGTGAAGAGCTTGGGAACAATGTCACTACCCTCACATGACATAAAGCCATCTCTAGGCAAATGACATCATTGATCGTAAGGTCCATTTGAGGGCCTTAACATAATTCAGCCTATTTATTTGGAGTGGGCCAGTAACATTTCACATGTATGTGGGCCTTTTTCAGTATCAATAGGAAATTGACAGTGAAAATGGGCTGATTGTCTTAATCTCAACTTCATCTCAATAAGCATTTGTCCATAAACAATGGGAGGAATATTACTTAGCAAATGCAGATAAGCAATTCTACCAAAAGATTTTTCTTCTAACCTTCTTTAGAATCTAATAGAATGTAATGTCTCAAATGATACCAGGTGCACCAGCATGATTACTAAGTACTGTTATATATTTTGATACATAATTGGTGAACAAGACTACCAAGAAAAGTGAGTATCTTATAGCTGCTGTGCTTCTTAACATTTATAGCCTTTACAGGTTTTGAAGCATGTGAAAATTTTCATGTTGCCTCTAATGTGTCCTTTATTGTATTATTCTAAACTCTTCAAAGGGAAGATTTTATTTTCCTTTTATCACTGATGTTTAAGGCCAGAAAGAATTATTACCTAACCCTCTAACCTATCATAACTAGTTTTGTCAAAGCCACTAAAATGATTGTTTAAAAAAATAGAAAAACTACAAAAGTTTTAAAAGATAATATAAATATTACTACCATGTTTAGAGAATGTCACTTATCTCTACCACTCATAGTTTTCATTATAATCTATAGATTATGAAATATCTTCAGAATATTAGAAAGTGCAGAGACTAATATAAAGAATACCCGTGTACTTAATTTTGCCAGAATCACAGTGTTGGTCTTTTAGATCTGGCCAACCTAAGGGTATCCAGTTGTGTTCATTCCTTATCCTGAATCTTCCCGTTAGAATGTGTGGTTATCTAGTGTCTCTAGGCAAACAAAAACACTTCTTTCAGCTATGACATTTCAAGGATTTATAGATCACTTCCCAGAATCTGAGGATGAAGGCTAGACATCTTTTAGGAATATGTATTTTCTTTTGTTCATTTTCCTCTTGATAGATATTTGGGTTTTATATGATGCATATAAAATAGTACTTATTTGTTAATATTTATATATATATGTATATATATGAAATTATGTATTCCACATATTAACTTCTTTAAAAATATTGAATAATTTTCAAAAGAGTCCTATATGAATAAATGTTCCTGTTCTACAAATGAAAAAAATAGGATACAAGGAGGCTAAATGCTGTATTCAAAGTCACACAGGTAGAAGTTAGAATAATTGGCACATAAATTAGGCAGTCAGAATTCTGTCCCTTAATCACTATGCTGTGCTTCCTTAGAAAAGTACATCAGCATTTTATAATATTCATCTTCTTGTACACATGTGTCAGGGTTTTTCTAAGATCTATAACTAACAGTCTGATTACTTTTCTGTAGATGTGTGCATCTTGAACTTTATTAGATATTACCAAATTGTTACGCAAGCTTTTTTTCTGTATGTGACTTAAAGGATTGAACCTAGAACTTTTGCACTTAGCTATATTTCTAGCCTTTATTTTGAGGAAGGGCGTTACTGAATCACTAAATTGCCCAGGCTGGACTTGAACTTTGTGATCTTCCTGCTTTATACTCTCAGTATGCTGGATTACAGGTCTGTGTCAGAGTGCTTATGTCCGAACTGATATTTTTGAAACAATTAATATTTTGTCTATATATCTCTTTCTAACTCTATAGCTTGCCCTGACCTTTGTTGTACTGATGTTAAAATTTTAAAGTACTTTATTTTTAAAATTTATTTTATTATTGAAGAAATCTGTCCTTGAGCTCATAAATGTATCCTATTTTCCTGCAAGTTTTGTTTTTTTATATTTGTGGCTTTGATCTTCCCCCCGTATGAACAACCCGTGTCCCCAAACCATTTTTCTAGAGGTCCATTCTTTCTCCCACTGGTTTATAGTGTGCTTCTGTCTTAAAATAGTTCTGAGTATGCATACGTGTTCTATTAGTTGCCTATCATGGCTGCAATAAATAGCAACTTAGCTCAAATCAATATAAATTTGTTATCTTATTCCTGGAGGTTAGAAGTCTAAAAGGGGTTAGCAGGGCTGCATTTGTTCTGGGAGCACTAAGGAAGAATTTCCTTGCCTTTTCTAGCTTAAAGAGACCTCCTGCATTCCTTGACATATTTTTCCCCTTCCAGCCGTGGAATCACTCTGACTTCTGCTTCCTTCACATCTTCTCTGGCTTTGACCTTCTTGCCCCCCTCTTTAAGGACCCTTGTATTACACTGCACCTGAAGACTAATCCACCCATTTCAAGATCATTAATTTAATCACCTCTATAAAATCCTTCTTCCACATAAGGTAACATAATTTACAAGTTCCAAGAGTTAGGATGTGGATATTTTTGGAGTTACATTTTCAGCCTACTACAGTCCTTTGGAAATTCCATTTTTTGATTCATCCATTTAAAGCATATTCATAATCTCTGCTTAGTTCTATCTGAGTACAATTTTGAGCAGTTGAATTCTGCCGTTTGTTGTGTCTACTAATTATTACTCAAGTGTGACAGGTTTTTTTCATGCAATATATAATTTTAGATTCTAAAGTCTTCAGCAAGTAATTATCTTTGACGGTTTTACATGACCTTCATTAAAATCACATCCTACCAGAAAGCTTTAGTTATTGCTTTCCACAGGACACTGCAGTTGTCACTGGCGCGGAGTCACTTCTCATATTTCATTGGTTTGATAACTGTGTCTTGCATCATGTAGTTATGTATTATCAAATCTCCCAACCTGTGTGAGGTTAAACTAAAAGATAAAAGAATGTTTTGTTTATTTTCTTCCTCTGTTAGTAAGTAGATTTGTTTTATAGATCATCCTTTAGGTTTAGCTCCTTAAGAATCCAGGTGTTAAGAGAGATTTCTTTCTCTGCTTCTTGCCTTGTTTAGCTCTTAAAGCCTCTCTTCTCCCTACATGGGCATTAAAACCCAAGTACTTAAGATTACTTAGAAGGACAGACTCCTTAGAGTTTCTGATTCATTACCTCATATGCTTTACTTTTATGGCAAGTAAAATTTCCGGCCTCCCACAGTCTTCCGTGGTTGATCTCTTCTGAACACTTCTCGGTGGTGATTGCTACTGTGTGTCTCATACATCAACTTTTGAGGATATTTGTGGTCTATGTACCTTAGGTATGTAGGAGCTCATTTTAATACGATATTTGACCCTTGCTTAGGGACACTTCTGACTTGGTCCCAACTCTAGATTTCAGTGTTGTATTGTTACCAGCAACAACTGTGCTCCATCAGGATACTGCTCATTTACCTCTGCGATTCTTGATACCATAGTAGAGAAAATGAGAAAATGTTAAAATGTTTTATCTGCAGTATCAAATAATAATACTAAATGTAAAATTCTTAAAATAATGTTACCTCAAACTTCAACCCAATCATCCTAATTTCCATTTTTAATCTCTTTCTAGGATGTGTGCTGTGTTTGGGGGAATCTATTGTCTTCGCCATTCTATACAGTGCCTTGTAGTGGACAAAGAATCTGGAAAGTAAGGATGATATAAGTAATCTTCCTATATTTATGCCCTTAAATCCAGGTGAAAAATGCTAAAGTCAATTTTTTAAAAAATGATTCTTGAAAGATCCTCCTTGGTATTAATAACATATCAACCTTGATTAAAAGTAATTTGTGTTAAGGTCCTCCAGAACAAAGAAAGTGAGTTCAGAATATAGAAACTGAATTAATTTTCCCGCAGCATGACTATACAATAGTTTCTGATCATCCAAGCTTGGAAGACAAATCATTTCAGCTGCCCGGGGTGCATGATGAGTGATGTTAGTTTTCCTTGTGGCCTTACCTCCTCTAATTGATTTTCATCGGATGATAACAAAGCCCTCTGTTACTGCATTTTTTAAAATGAAGCTCACCTAAAGACTCATCAGATTAATCTCTGCTGATAACGCATGTCACTCCAAGAGAAAAGACTTTAATGAGTTTTTAGGTAGATTGTTGTAATAAACTATGCTGCCCTGTTGTCTGAGGATAAATTCTCTTATACGAGTGTCCAGCCTGAGGCTGGTTTTGGATTGAAATAAGAAATTACTTTCTTTTTAAAGGAAAGTTGAGCACTCTATTTACCTGTGTATTTTTATATTTCAATTATTTTTCTAGGATTTATTTTTAATAGAACATGCACTTTAAATAAAATTACACTACATAAGATGCTGTTCTACCAGTTCTAGGTTTTACATTGAAACTAAACTGGGTCAGCTGGATCTGTTGAAATTGCTGTGTTTTTCTTTTATGTTACATATTCTCAAGCATCTCCTGGCCTATATTTCTTGTATGACTGTTTTCAGGCGTATATAATGAACAAGAATTAAGTGCCTTAATATTTTAAACTAGAATCTTAACAGTATAAATTTTAAGGTTTTTCTATTCATTTTACAATAATTTTGTGTAGTCTAAGTGAAACTAATAGGTAACAACTTGTCATAAACTAGTAATAGTGCAATAAATTAGTATTTTGAAGTATAGCTAAAACTCTCACCTCTAGAAACATGCAGTACTTTAGTTAAGTAAAATGACACATGATTCAAATGGCTTGTAAAAAGTACCTTCAGCACTTTAACAGAAAGGCCCCCCATATATGAAATCTGATAATCTGCTCTGAAAAATATGTCCCTAAAGGCCCAAGATAGTCATACCTTGGTTTGTGAAGAGCTCTGTGCAAGTTCTTGAAGGAGTAGTTGTCTTTATGACGCTAGAGTTATTTTTCCTTATGCACTCACTTTGAATCAGTAAAATGTTGCAATGTCAGAAAGCTTGTTTGATGCTTATTTAACTCTTTTGGGACCCCATTCTAGTCCTACATTTTATTCTCAGTGATGCGGATTTTGCTGGGCTCTGTTACTTTTTAAAAAATGTGTTTGGCAGTATCAGTGACATAATTTGTTAAACTAAAGGGTACATTTACCTTACCTTTGACAGAGTTTATATGATGTATTTTGCACAAAGAAACTCTTCTCTGTGATTTGTGCAGATTTCAGTTGCACCAGGTAGCTCAAGGCTAAAGATCTAGAGATCAAAAGAACTGCCAAATTGGTAGTTTTCAAACTTCAATGTGCCTAAGAGTTACCAGATAAGCTTGTAGAAAATGCAAGTTGCTGCGCCTTACCCTTAAAGAGTGAAATTGTATAATATATATAGGGTACTGCCAGGAAATTTGGTTTTAAGGAACACCACAAATGAAATCTGATATGAATGGCACTGTCAAACACTGGGACATAAGGTGAATTTAGCCAAGAGTACTGCTGTATAGTGCCCTGGATGCTCCAGGTCTTAATTCATTCCAGAGCTTTATCAAGATAAACCTGCAAGTTAGACTGGCAATCAAATATAAATTCTATATAGTAGGCAAACTGCTCCTAATTTGACGTCCTTTATATCTTCATAGAAATACCTGAACTGTAACATTTGTCATATAACACCTAGACTACGGTCTGTTAGCCCTGGAATGAGAGAATACTTAGAATTTTATCACTACCATAGATGACAGTTGGAAAGCCCTTTCCTCTGGACCAGTTACTATCATTGCAACATGAGTTAGACAGACTGAGGTAATCTTGGAGTTTCCTTCCAGATCTGACATGCTTTGGTTTATTAATAATTCATAGAATGTACTTAGTTTTTCCTTCATATTTAGAAATAAATAATCTTGAAATATTTTATATTCCTAAATTAAATGACTCTCACACATTAGATAATCTTCAACAGGCATGGTGGACCACGCTTGTAACCCCAGCAGTTGGGAGGCTGAGGCAGGAGGATCCCCATGAGCTCAAGGCTAGCCTGCACTACATAGTATATTTGAGGCCAGTCTAAACTTTGTAGTGAGACCCTGTCTCAGGAAAAAAACAAAAATTAAATATTCTTCATTCCTTCCTCCCTTCTTCTGTTTTGTCAAGAGCTCATCATATTTTAGTCAGAGTTCTAAATTTATTTTCTGATCCCACAGACTAGAACAGAGTCCTCTGCTAGAACCTCAGTCAGATCCCCTTGTGTACTTATTTGATGAGTCCTCTGTAAGTAAAGAAAGGACCTTAGTATTGCATCTCCAGAACTAAGGCAGGTTCCTAGCACCATTATACTCAATAACTTTGACTTAAATGAGCAAATGAAAATTAAAGACATATTATAGCCTCTTTTGTGCTTTCTCTTTCACCTCACATTTAGAAAAGCTGGTAGAAGCATAAATAATTCTGGCAGTGAGTTTATTGTGAATACACATCAAAGCATTATAAAGACTTGGAGAGGATAAATAGGACATTGAGTGCATATGAAGTAAAAGTATATGGACTGCATAAACCAGTGTACCTGTTTTCTGCTAGACTGTTTTCTCATTTTGATTTAATTCATTTTTCCTGAGACCTACACTGCCTGTGCTGTCCTCATTATATCATCCTTTGGCGCTGCTTTTTTAATTTGAGAAGATGTAGGTATGTATCAGTGGATCTTTTCTAAATTCTAACGCTGTACCTCTGTTGAATATTTTTGGAATTACTGGATGCTGTTGTTGAAGAGCTTCCTTTTCACTTCAGCTATACTGAGTAGGTGAAACTGTAAATTAAATTTGGCTGCTTGGCAGTACAGTGTTTGACATTTGAGAAGGGTACATATGACCTTAGACCAAATATATCTATAACTAGTAGTCCTCATCTAATTACTTCAGCTAGCGTCCCATGGAAACTTCAGCTGTCTCACTTACTAGATAGCTTGCTATGCTATACTATGCCAGTTTTTTGGAGACATCTTTTCTGACATCAGGAAAACTATACTTTACCTAGATATTCAGATGTTAATCGTGAATAGTATATTTAGGCTGAATAGGTGGCTGATTCTTAATAACATTTGTTATTGCTTAAGGTCTATTTTTGGCATATTCCTTTTGCAGAATAGTAGTGACTATAGTCTAGATATTTAACCTTTGCGAGGCCCCATCATTATGAGGATAAAGATGTAAAAAAAAATGGACCCTGCTCTTTTGTACAGAGACTGTAGTGAAGAATTCAGGTTCTAAAGTCAGATAGACTGGATTTGCATCCAGACTTTGTGGCTTCCCAGGCGTGTGAATTTAAATAAGCTGTTTGGCTTCTCAGTGCCACAGTTTCATTATCTGGAAAGTGGAACACTTGGCAATATCTACCTTATATGCTCATTATGAATATTATTTGAACACATCAATCTCCGAAAACCCTTTGTTATTCATATCAAGACTTCAATACATGTTAGTAGCAATCATTAATGTAACTGGATAGATTGCCATCACATATAAGAAGACCTATTGTTAAGATCCTTCTCTGCTATGCTAAGGAGTTTGAACTATAATCAGCTATAGTTTTAAACAAGATTAAATTTGCTGCTTTGAAATTAGTATCTTGGCAGTGCTTTAAAAGAAACTCTTATGGCAAGAGACTCTACCTCCTAAGTCAGAAATTCTGTATCTTTTTTTTCCTGTCTTTATACTGTTCACATGCACAGAGTATTTCCATAATCCATCCATTCACTCATCTCATATAAGCACTATTAATTATTTTCTGTGTGCCAGGCACTGGGGATACAAAGAAAACAAGGCAGCCATGGTCTTGCTCATGGAGCTTACAGTCAATAGGGGGATATTACAAAATACATGAACAAGTAATTGTACTCTGAGATTTATACAGTCTGCAGATCTGGTTCTCCTTCCCTATTTAAAGGGCTTCAGTGAGTTTCTATGACCTCAGGATAAAGTCTAAGACCTTCTTACATGACACGTGAGATGCAGTCTGCTCTTGCCTGCCTCTCTGGACTCTTCCCTCATCACTTCCATTTCATTGTCAGATTATACTTGTGTGGGTCAGGTTTCCCATCCCTGAGACCAATTCCTGGTGTGCACATCAGCTTAAAAGGAGGACAGGTTCGTTTTCAGTGTGGATTCAGAGATTTCAGTCCATAGCCTACTGACTCCTAGGAAGAAAGATTAGAGAAGAAAGGTGTGGCGAAGCACTGTTGCTTAGTTCATGTCTGCTAGAGAGCAGAGCAGGGAAGCAGCACCAGAGAAAAAGGGGCCAGGGGCCAGATAGAGCACCAAGGTCATGCCTCCATGACCTACTCAGACACAGCCCAAAGTGTGCTTCACGAATCCCCTAGGCAGCTCCAAAGCCTTTCAAATTAACAGTGAAGCTTAACCATCACATTCAACCATTTGTCAATTTGACATCCAAACACATCTTAAACTATACTTAGTCTTCAAATAAAGACAAAAACAAGTTTGTAATTCCACCTAACATCATAAAAATACCATGTACAGCTGAAAACACAATAATGCCTTCTCCAAAGTCTCAAACATTCGAAGATTAATAATAGGTCAGTCTTCCCTGAAACTCAAGATAAACTCTTGACTGTGAACTTCTGTACAATTCAAAATGCAAATTATACAGTGGTACAGTGTAAACATTTCCAGTCCTAAAAAGAAGAATAAGAGGGTAGAAAAGAATAGGAACAAAGCAAGATCAAAAGCCCAGCAGATCCTATATTAAATCCTAGAGCTCCATGAACAGCATCTGGTAATGAAATGTGAGTTCCAAAGGGTTTGGGCAACCCTTCCCCATGGCCTTGATGGTAGTAGCGCACATGACCTCTCTCCTGGACTGGCTCCCCTCACTGCCTATGGCCTTTCTCAAAAGATGTTCCATATTCCTCCCATCTCTTACTTGGTGCGGTATCCGCTCCACCTGTAGATTTATTCTAACAGCTTCATGTACCCAGCTCCCAGGGGCACACTTGTCTCCCAGACCTTCCTCTGAAATCTGGGTGAGAACATCCATGACCCCACACTCCTGTATTCTGCATACCAAAGCAATAACATCACTTGAGCAATGCCAAGAATAAAGTGCATGTCTAGCGTTTTGAGATGGCTTCATGAATGCAGTGAGATTTGAACTAATGTGTTTGGGGATACTCAAAAGGGCATGTTGAATAGGGAAAATTATTTGTTTCCTTCAATAATGATGAATCTTCCAGTTCCTTTAATTAATAGTTTTCTTTTTAATTGTCTCACCTGTGATTTTTGCCTTCTTTACTGTATAATTAGTTGTCATATTCTGGAGGTTGTAAGGATTAAACACCTGTTAAAATGTTATTCTCTCCTGGGCCACTTTCAATATATTGAGTTTTGTCCTGCTGAGTGTTTTCTTTCTTATTGACATTTTTATATTTATGCCCTAATGTCATTGAACTAAGAACCGAATAAGTATTGTGATTTGTTGCTTTAGAAAACTTAGCCCTTGAAATGTTCTGTCTGGCTTCAGTGATTCTTATGATCAACTTGGTCATTGTGTCCCCGTAACAGGAAACTCTTACCATGTTCCTCCTCACTTTACTATTTATGAGACTCAGCAAGGCTCGCAACTAAATCCTAACTGCTGTTAATCTTTAATGGTCTCCTCAGGTTTATATGGAAGGTGTGGACAGCAGGCTATTTTAGTGTCTCTAGCAGTACTGTTTTGTTTTACTGTTTTCCTTTACTTGAATGTCACCTAATTTTTCTGTTAATCTTTATAATACAAACATTAAGGTTACATCCCAAATCAATATTCCTTTCTTCATTATACTCCCAATTAGGCTGAATATTTGACAGTAACTCAAGTATCTAAGGGAAAAACAATCTTACCGGTTGCTTAATCATGTCTTGGTTTAAACAGCATTGCTTATCAGTGATGGCGAACCTTTTAGAGCTTTCAGGGATACAAACAGCCTGCTGCAGCATGTGTGCCATAGGTTTGCCACCACTGGCTTAGGTCTAGAGCTTCAGTACTTCAGAGTAAGAATGAGACCAACAGGTGAGTCGTGTTACCTTCGTCTGTCAGACTGAGACTGGGTATATGTGACTGTCACCTCTATCTCTGAATAAGTAGATATTTTCTCTATCCTGTAGCTGCTTACTTTTCTTTACCTAGCACAACAAAAAGGTGCAGCAGTAGCAATGGCGTGTTTGACAGTGATTCTCTCCTGGGATTTGGAAGCTTATCAGAATCTCCAGGGGTACTTATAATGTGAGAAAGTCCCCCAGGTGTGATTCTGATTTGCTTCCTTTTCCTCCTCCTTTGAGAATCACTGCTTCATCAGAAACTCAACATGAATAAACACATGTAGTAGTATGTTTTCCTTCCATCGTTAAGCTCTTTTAATTCCGATACGCCAAGACTTCCTCTTTGAATGATCCTCATTAATTCTGTCTAATAGTATCACCTCTGAAAACCACTGTCTACCTGTCACCAAAGGGGTAGCTACCACTAAATTGGCACTAGTAACACTCTTCTCTTTTAACACAACATTTTATGAAGAAAATTTGAAACCTCTGCCAAAGATGAATTTAAAGTGAACAATCATATACCTATAACCAAGGCTTCACAATTAATATTTTAGTATACTAGCTTAATAGCATATCTCCCCAAATATTCATCCCTGTTTTTTTTCTGGTACTGGGGATTGAAGCCATTGTTTTCACACTGAGCTACATCCCCAGCCTTTTTTTTTTTTTTTTTTTTTTTTTTTTTTTTTTTTGAGACAGGGAGCCCTAACTCACTAAATTGCCTAGGCTGGGCTCAAACTCTCCATCTTCCTTCCTCAGCCTCTGAGAATGCTGAGATTATAGATATGCACCACCATGCCCAAACTTCTATCTATTAATTCACCTTTTTATGTATTTCACAGTATATTGCAGATATTTATAAAATTCTCCCTAAACACTTCACTATGCAATTCACTCGTTAGTTCAGTATTTTCCCATTGTTTTTCTTTTGATGTAAAATTTACAGTGAAGTGTCCAAATCTTAGTTTCTCATTAGCTGAGTTTTAAAAAATGATAAATCTGTATAACCAAAATCCTTTTCAAGATATAGGACATTTTATACCCCCCTATCTTCTACCCACATTATTTCTTCTTGACTGTCTATATTCTCTCTGTAAAAGGTAAGGAAAAGGCTAGTCAGTGCTTGGAGTATAAAAGAGATCAATGTGCAGTAGTAGATCAGTACATTTCTCTTCTCCATTCCTTGAAGAACTTTGTTTTTCAAATTGTTTATGGATGCTTCAAAACAGAAGACTGAATGAGAAACTTTTTCAGTTATTTAGGAATTATTTTGGAAAATGTCTAACCATAAACACCTTATATCTATTTAGCTAAGCATTTTGTAAGACCAGAGCTACTGTATAATGAAATGCGAAGAGGTATCAGAAACAAAAGAAAGGAAGTAGAAATGAGATGGGAAACTAGTTTTTATATTCATATAACAAATATTATATAAAATGGGGTTAAAATGTACATTATGCACACATAACATCACTAGATATCTTATTCTGTCTTGAAAACAAAGGTATGTTATTTATTCCAAAATACAAACCAAACATAGTCTGCCTTTAGGAAGTACAAATTAATTACATTCCTGTGACTACTGGTCTTGAGTGTTTGTTATTTTATTTTTAACACATTCATACCTAGTAAATGTCAGGTATTTTGCTTATTTTAACAATTTGGCATACATTAACTTACACTAGTATATTTTAAATTTGAGTTTGAAATGATTTATTTGCATTGAATGCAGAACAATATTTTTCTAATAAAGTAATTCTGATTACAAAAGAAACTGTAACAAAAGTAAATTGATATGCCCATAATAAAAAGGTGTAGCAAACACAGTCATTTGCATATAGTTCCTGAAATATTACATACTGGCTTTGAAGTCCATTTCAAGGATGTCACCCTTAGTCCATTAGTTTGGATAATGAGCCCTATAAAGTACATTTATAACTTGTGGCACTGCAAGGAGATGGGTTCTAATTTCCATCCTTTTATCTAGACATGTTGAAAGAAGGTCAGTAGAGGGTTCTATATGATTCATTGTCTCAAAACATATCAGATGACAGAGTCCTGATAATGTTCGTGCATTAAGTGTTTTCCTTATTTGGAAACAACACTTGAAAGAAATCTTTCTATGATCATCCTTTGAAGTGCAGTAGAAATAGATACTAAAAGAAGCTCGATCCCTTTCTTTCCTGTTTAAAACATTATCAAGTACATGACCAGACAGCTATTCTTCAACAAAAAAGAAAGTAACATTTAACAGAAAAATGAAAAGCCGTTAGTGGCTTTTATAGGCTGTGAATGATATAACAAGATATTTAATCAACTTTTCTTTCTATTTTCTTAGAACTGTTAGAGGGGGAAAAAAGGAAAATATTTTCTTCAAGAAAAAGCATTTATGTTCCTAAACATAAAGAAAGCTTTTAATTTTACTTACAATTAATTATCCTAACTTTACTCTTTGTTATTAATGGCAATCGAAATAAATACTTAAGTTGTAGCCTACATTCATGTTACAGTTTTCAAAATGTCAAAACAGCAATAATAACATATATTCTGAAATCAGCATCAGTTTTATGTCAGAAAATGTGGAATTGTAGGCAATTCTTTTTTTTTTGGTTTTTCTCTGGTACCGGGAACCGAACTCACGACCTTGCGCTTGCCAGGCAGGCGCTTTTGCCACTGAGCTAAATCCCCAGCCCCTATAGGCAATTCTTTAATCTTTGTGGATCTTTGATTCAAAGATAATAGGTGACTTTGTTCATTTTCTCTATTACTTGTTCGTTATTGTAAACTTTTTTACTGTGCTTATCTTCTTTGTAGATGTAAAGCAATCATCGATCAGTTTGGTCAGAGAATAAACTCTAAGCATTTCCTTGTGGAGGACAGTTACTTTTCTGAGAATACATGCTCACATGTGCAGTACAGGTAAGATACTCCATTTGCTAGCCAAGGGAGGGTGAAATAGCATTGTGAATATGTTGACATTTCTGTATGATTCTGTGCTTTGTGTAAAGGTATGCGAAACCAAAGATGTATTCAATATGTACTACTCTTCTCTTTTGGAGTCTAGTTTGTGGGGAGCCTTGTATAATTTCACATATTTTACATCAGCTGGGGTTTGTCTGTAAGTCACATATCCCTCTTTGGTGAGACAAGAGAAGATCAGAGCAGAACTTTACTTGGTTTTTGAAGGTGTCACTTTTATCCTGAGTTAAATGTTTGAAATGTGCCTTATGAAATTTATCCATGAGTTCTAAATTATTGCTTTACTCTTGTGTTTTACAGGCAAATCTCCAGGGCAGTCCTAATTACAGATAGATCTGTATTAAAACCAAATTCAGATCAACAGGTAAATTCAGCCCTATATTTTAAAAGTAAATTCGGTATGTTAAAATGGAAAATACAGTGTTGCAGTATCCATGGGAGCTCATTGTTACTGTCAAGCTATTTAACATACCTCTTTCTTTCATAGTTACCTTTTTAGTGGTAAGAATACTTATCGTCTGTTCTGACCAAATTTTAAGCATACAGTATTATATTATTTACTGTAGCCCTCATGCCATACATTAGATCTGTAAAATGTATTTTTCCTATTTACCTAAAAGTTTTTGTATCCTTTGACCAACTCTTCCATTTCACCCACTCCTCAAACCCTGACAGCCAGCCCTCTATTCTGCTTCTATGAATTTGACTTTTTTCAGATTCTACATATCAGTAACATCATGTAGTGTTTGTGCCTGGCTAATTTCACTTAAAAAAACGGTCCTCAGTGTTCATCTATGTTGTCACAGATGATAGTCTTTCCTTCCTTATTAGGATGAATAATACTCCATGTATTATTGTTCCATATATACACATATTTTGTATTTTTATTCATTCATTCATATACATTTAGGTTGTTTCTTTACATTTTCTGCCAGGAACAATGTTGTAAGGAACATGGGTGTGCAAATATCTCTTTGACATAGTTACTTAATTTCCTTTGGATGTATACACAGAAGCAGCTTTGCTAGGTCATACTTACTTCTGTATTTTATTTTTCTGTGGAAACTTCTTGCTGTTTTTTGTAATCAGTACCATTTTGTATTCCCACCAACAGTGTACAAGGCTTCCCATTTATGCATATGCTTACCAACACTTGATATCGCTTCTTTTTGATGATATCCACCTCACAGCTGTGAGGTAGTATTTTAGAATCTAGTACTTTTTAGTAACATTGTTGCTTAATTTAATCTATATAGCAATAGGTAGAAGTCAATATTGGTGAAGTAAAGTATGTTAAGCCATATATACTAGCACTTTTAAAATACATTTGAGGGCTGCGGATTTAGCTCAGCAGCAAAGCGCCTGCCTGCAAGTGCAAGGTCGTGAGTTCGATTCCTGGTACCAGAAGAAAAACAACAACAAAAAAATACATTTGAAAGTACGTAATGGCAATAATGTAACAGCTGTGGTTTCCTAAGTATATCTCTCCAGTGGAATAAATAATTGCATCTTATATAACAGTTTTATTCTATGAAAATTGAGCTCCATCTTTGTTTTGACAACTGTTTCTGTGCAATTGAAAATGTAGTGTTATGGGAAGAAAGGAGAATCCCTAGAGAATACATTTGAAAAATCTTAGAACAAAAAACTTTGTAGTAGGCAACTCTGTAGCAATCCCAGAAAGCCATTTGGCTTGATATGATTTAATTTGCACACAATCCCTGTTATAGTATTTTCTCAACACCTTTGTTCATTTTAGTACCTCCTTCTTATCCTCAATTCCATAAGAGTCTCTTTGTGCCTATCATTTTTTTATTAGTCCAAGCATCTAAATTCCAGGGGTTCTTTTTTCTGACTACATTGTACAGTGAAATAAAATCAGCTTACTCTGGTGTGACTATCAGCTTTATATGCTACACCTAAAACTAGGATCCTAAAATTTCTTAAATTAGAAACCTCTTGTTATATAAAACAAATATGAGTAGATAAAGTTAATTAATTGTTCCAGGTTTTTTTGAGCACTGCATAAAAAGAAGCACCAATTATATCTGTTATACAGGCAAGCATACATACTCCTTTCGTTTAATCATTTAGTAAACAAATGCCTTTTACCTGCCAACTGATGTGCTGGATTCTGAGAAGATAACCTTAACCAAGATGGCATCCCTGCCCTCAAATAGCATGCAGTCTGGAAGACAGAGGTAGACAAATAGAAAGTGCATTTCACTATGACAAGTGTGAACTTGGGTGTAGTAAAGTTGTAGCAGCTGTTTTATCATTTATCTTACGAACCTCTCATTGCTGATTGACTTTTCTATATCTCCCAGAAAACTGTGAGCTTTGAAAGTAGATCAGCGAGTGACAGGGAGGGAGGAAAATGAGGAGCTAATAAAAACAACTCTTAGAAGAAGCTAAGCTATAAGGAGTACGAGAAAGGAGAATAATTGGGGCAAAATCCAGGCAAAGGTCAGGAGGATGAGATTCAGAGAACAGGTAGAAGCATTGCCCTTAGATGAGATGTGAATCACATTGAAAGAAGAGGGCAAGCACAGGACTGTTTGTAGTTTTGAGAGTTCCCATCTCGTGGATCATTCTTTAAACTACACAATAAAGTTATCACCTGAGGATCGGGGTGTACAAAGTAAGTCAAAGTGCAAGGAAATGTCAGTGCAGGGAGTTGAAGAGTGACCTCTCTTCTGGTCATATTGTGGAGCATGCTAATGGCCAAGTCTGAAGACCACGGATTTGTAATGCCATAATCTGCTCCCGTTCTTCCAGCTCTTTTGTTCTCTTATACCCAGCCTGTTGAGAGACTCACAAATCCTCATCTCCTCTGTCTCCTCCCAGTTTATAATCTCCCCTCTGCCCTCTTCCTTTTCTCTGGACTAGATGTCTTCTGAACTGCCCTTTGCCCAACACCTTTAGTTCCCATGTTTCCCTGTCTGTGACTGTACCCGCAAATGGGATTCCTGTCCCTGGGTCAGGCTGTAATCTGCACCTGGCACTGATGGCTGCTTGAGGAAACCATACTACTGCAAAGTCCTGGGCCAGCATCATTCAGCTGTCTCAGCAGCCACTACCAGTCCCCTCTTTCACTGGCCTCAATTAGCTCCTGCTTGTTTTTCACGCAATGACTAGTCTCCGGCTTCATTATTTCCCCCCACTACTCCTCCCTTGCTTGTCTTGCTTCCCTGCCTCACTGGTGAAAAATGAGGCCACTCACCATATGCAATGGCCCTTCACTTCCAGTCCTGCCATCCATACCAGCCCGGGGCCACCTTCTTTCAGAAGTCCCCTTGATGCGCGAACACGCATGCACTCACCACACATGCCACCCTTTCTTTGTCTCTGTCATACTTTCAGACTCCTTTTACCAGTATCTTCCCTTCAATGTAAAGGGAGCTAGCAACCTTCATTCCAAAAATAAAAAAGAAAACAAAACAAAAACAAAAAATCTTATTTCTTTGGCTCTTCTTCTCTAACTAGTGTCCAATCTGTCCTCTCTCCTTATCAACATTTTCAAGACACTGTCTCTACTTGCTGCCTGCAGTTGCCTACCTCCCGTTCATTTCTAAGCAACACCAACCTGACTACTACCCTTACATTTCCACCACAATTTCTCTTGTTAATTTAATTAATAATGTCACAACAGTTGGGGTCAGAGGACATTTTTTCACTCTTGTCTACTAGGACTTTTCTGGTACATTTAACAAATTATTATTATTCCCTTTCTCTGAAAGCTGTACTTCTGGGGCTTTATGACACTGTACCTTCTGGTTCTTCTCATGACTCTGGCTGTCTTCTTTCTGCTTCCTTTCTTGACTCTTCTTCCTCTGTCCTGTCCTTAAATATCCGGGGCTCCTCCGGATTCTGCTTGACCCCATGGTATTATCTTGCTCTGTGCATATTCACCAGATGGCAGTGTGTATTCTCATAGTTTGAACTATGCATGAATATTGGTGCAAGCACTTACACATATATCATAGGAATGTCTTCCCCACGTGCCAGACTTTCTATGTGGCATCTGTCACGTGGCACACACTGAAGCTGACTTCAGCGTCTTCCCCTCTCAAACTCCTTCTCACCTGATGCTTCCTTCCTCCCAGAATAGTGCTGATACCCTCCTAACAGCAATAAATTTTTTCTCCCCTCTCTGACATCTCAGCATCCTTGAGTTCCTGCCAGCTTTTTAAGAGCTGGTTTTAGGAACTTTTCTTTCCTACCAGCTTTACTATCTCTATTCTTGTTATAGAGCTCATCACCTCTACCTTTTAATGGGTCATCCGGCCTCTCATCTTGTCTCTTTCAAATCCATCCTCCACAGAGCAATCACAGTCGCTCTCTTTCTCTGTCTCTCTGACAGTAAAACAAGGCTTAGGGAAAGGAAAAAACAAGTGCAAGTCAACGTAAGTTTTATGAACATGGTAATAGAGTGTTGAGGGAATGCTCTTAATGTCTTTTATTAACTCTGAGATTTGAGACAGTTAACTTGTCAGGGTTTAGGTGACAGAGGTAGTGTGGTAGGAGGTTACTGATTGTATATTAATTAAAAACTTGATAGTTGCAGGAACTAAAAGATGTCTTATATACTGGTAAAGTCCTTGAGATCCTTTTGCAATTATGAGCATATTTTCAATCAATGTCTTAGTTGCTTCTTTCTCTTTAATGCTAGAGTATATTTTCTGTCATGAATACCACCAAAGGGAGTTAAGAGGAACGTGAAGAACTCAGTCTTTGAGATATCTTGAACCCAAAAATACACATCAAGTAGGATAGCCATGATCAGCAAATAATTTCTAATATTAGAATTTGTTGTAGATGTTTCCTCTGTGGTCTATCACTATTACATTCCCAGTCAAAAGGTAAGTATAACACTTATATGGAAAAGTACAATTGGGTCTTTATCTTTGGCAAGGATTCCCTCCAAGAGAGAATGTAACTCCCTTAGACTGCAGATTAGTTTGAAGATTAATGTTGAAACTTTAACTCTACAGAGAAATATTGACCTGATGGTCATTTAAAGTCTTTTACATGTAAAACCATTAGACATAACAGTAGTTACTAGGAAAGTGTACCACATATCAATAAATTGTATTTTGTAATACATTTTCATTTTACTTTTGATTTTGAATTCTGATCTTGTTGATAGTCTTTCATTAGATTTGAAAACATTCATTTTGAAATGTTTCAAAATACCTTTACCTTGCAAATTTTGACATTTGGGTGATTGGTAACATCCTTAATTTTTATTTCTTTTTAACTGCTATTTTTAGCCTTTATGAATAATGAAAAGTGAAATCATATTATCTGATTTTTAAACACTAAGTATATCTATTTTAGAATTAGTACATGGCATTCTTTGAAAATAGTATTTGAGTTTAAGATATGAATTTCACTTATTTAATATTGGTGAGAATTATGTACACAATATATCAGATATAAAAATGTAAAAAATATATAAATTAAGTGTGAAGGTACATACATACATATTACATACTTCAAATTATATTCCAAAATTAAATCCCTACAAGCCAAAATTTTTTCAAATACCAGGGATAGTTTAAAAGTTAATGCTCTAATAATAGAAGAATTAAAGTGAAATCTAGCAATTTTCTCTAATTTTTTTTCTGGTTTTCAGATTTCCATTTTGACAGTACCAGGAGAGGAGCCAGAAACTTTTTCTGTTCGGGTCATTGAGTTATGTTCCTCAACAATGACATGCATGAAAGGCACCTGTAAGTACTAAGGGGGATAGCTACTATAGTTGCACCTGTGCTAAGGGGGATAACTCTTATAGTTGCACCTATAAGGAGTAAGGGGGTATGGCTATTATAGTTGCACAGTTGTGTTTATAGAGATTTTCTCACTTACTTATAATTCACAGTACTTGTTCATATAGTATGTGACCATACAATAAGTCATTTTACATTTTCCTGTTGCCTTAAAACATTTCTATACAGGTTATATCTTCATAGGCATGATTTTCTAGTTCTTCAATAAAATCATTTCTATATAATTCTTTCTGTAATTTTTCTTAAGTTTATTAAAATCTTACCTTCACACAATTTTTGTTAACTATTCAGTTTCTTTTTTACTTTCTCCCTTAGTTTTTTAAGGCTACTATAACAAAATATAGATAATTTGTAAGCAACAATAATTTATTTTATGCAGTTCTAAAGATGGGGAAGTCCAGGGTCATGGTGGCAGTAGATTCTGTCTGGTGAGGAGCTCCTTCTTGTAGTTGGTATCTTCTCTTTGTCCTTAAATGGTGGAAGGAGTAAACATGCTCCTTTGAACCCCCATTTTAAATTCTTTATAAATTATATAAATTTATTTTCTGGTATATAAAAATACAAATGATATATATTAATGGGTTAATGTGATGTTTTGATGTATTTATGTGTTGTGTAATGTTTAGATAAGGTTAAACATATCTACCTTATTTACTATTACTTTATAATGAAAATTTTCAAAATGCTTTCTTTTAGCTTTTTAAAATATAGAATACATTATTCTTATCTAACTTTACACTCGTAACTGTACCTAAATATCAACCTTTCCTCCTCACTCCCTCATTCCTACCCTCCCCAGACATGGAACTACTATTATACTCCCAAATTTTTCATGTCAACGTTTTTAGATTCCACAATTGAGTGAGATCATGTAGAATTTTCTCTCCATGCCTTGCTTATCTTACTTAGTAATTTGCCCTTTAGGTTCACCCATTTTGTAGTAAATGACTGGAGTCCACTCCTTTTGATCAGTATTTCATTTTGTGCATGCACTATTCTTCTTTTTTTAATCTGTTCATCAGTTGATGGGCACCTAAGTTCGTGTTTATCTATTATGTGTAGTAGTGCAAGAATAAAGGGAGCACAGATATCTCTTCAACATAGTAATTTTATTTACTTTTGTTATATACTCAGTAATGGGATTGCTGGATCATATGTTATTTCTGTTTTAAAATTTTTAGGAATCTTTATAGTGTTTTCCATATTGGCTCTAATAATTTCTGTTTCCACTAGTAGTTTATACTAATTCCCTTCTCCGTGTCTTTATTAGCATCTACTGGTGTTCTGTTGGGTTTTTTGTTTAGTTCTTTGTTTTATTTTTGCTTTTTTGATAATATCTATGTAACTATGGTAAGGTTTTTTGATCATATCTTTGTGCTAAGGATTAATATCGCATTGTTATTTTGATTTGTATTTTTGATGGCTAGATACATTGAGTATGTTTTCATATACTTGTCCATTTGTGTTTCTTCTGAGAAATTTTATTCAGATCATTTTCCCATTATTTAATTGGGTTACCTGTGGATTGATTGATTGATTGTTTAATTATTTGATTATGGTATTGTTGACTTTCTGGAGTTTTGAATATCAATCCTTGTCAGAAATGTAGTTTGTAAACATTTTCTCCATTTATTACAGTTGTGTCTTCACTCTGTTGATTGTTTCTTTTGCTATGTAGAAGCTTTTCAGTTTGATGGAATCTCATTTATCTCTTTTTCCTTTTGTTACCAGTGCATTTGGGGTTTTGTGAAAAAAACAAAAAGAAAAAGAAAAAACCTTGTCAAGTTCAATGACCTAAAGCATCTCATTATTTCTTTCCAATAGTTTTCTAGTTTCATGACTTACATTTAAGGATTGAATCCATTTTGAGTCTGTTTTATAAGTGATAAGAGTCAAAGTTCTAGTTTTATTTTTCTGCTATGGATGCCTGTTCTTCCCAGTACCACTTACTGAAGAGACTGTCTTTTCTCTAATGTATGTTCTTAGCATACAATTTTGTTCAGATGAATGCAGAACCTGGAGAAGCTGTTGCTGCTATTGATGCATAATATACTGCTATTATTGGTGTTTTTTATATAAATGTAAACGTATAATTTGAATTTTTGGAAAATTTAACTGTGCTGCCAACTTTGAAAAAAGTTATCCCAGATTACCATGGTGAGTTGCCATTGTACAGAAATTAACAGCCATAATGGTTTAGAAACATTAAACGTATTTTTTTCCATCTGTACAGGGGTAATGCAATGTATTAAATGTAAGGTCTCATCTACATGGGTTTGATTACAGAAATTAATAAAGTATTCTCTAAATTTGAAACAAATCAAGAATTAATAAATTTGTAAAACATCTGTAGATATTTGGGTTTACTTCTATGCCCTCTGTTTTGTTCCATTGATCTCTGTATAGGTTTTATGCTAATAACATACTGTTTTGATTACCACACCTTTGTAGTGTGTTTTAAGGTCAGGTACAATCATGCTTCTTGTTTTGTTTAGTTTTTGCTCAATAAATAGCTTTGCCTATTTGAGGGTTTTTTAAGATTCTGTATAAATTTTAGCATTTTGCTTAATTCTAAGGATTGATATTTTGATAATGATCATATTGAATCTGTGCATTGCTTTTTGTACTGTTATGCCTTATATCTAGATGTTCCCCCAAAGCTGCATCCACTCATAGGTGGGACTTTGTAGAAGTGACTGAATTATGGATATGTGATACTCATCACTCAATTATTCCATTGATAGGTTTATAGCTGGGTGTGATGTTGAGAAGTAAAGCTTAGTGGGAAGAGCTGGGTCACTGTATGTGTGCCCTGAAGGTTATATCTCCCTCCTTGTCCCTTGATCTTGCTTTGGTTCCTTCCTGCCATACATGAGTAATTCTTCCCTGCCATGCCATCCCACCTTAGATCCAGACAATTATGGACTGAAACCTCTACAAACTATGCTTCAGTTATGGATGATGGTACAATGTCTCAGCAACATGAAAGTAACTAAGACAGGTTCTCTGGATATATTAACTACTGATTATTTCAATCCATGAACACAGTATGTCTTTATCTTTTAGTGTATCCTTCAATGTCTTTTATCAGTCCTAGATAATTTCCATTGTAGAGATCTTTAATCTCTTGATGAAATTTATTCCTAGGTAATTTTTTTCTGTAGCTATTGTAAATGAGATTTCTTTCTAGATTTCTATTTCAGATAATTTGCTATTGGCATATAGCAACACAACTAATTTTTGTATGTTGATTTTTATATTTTACAAATTTCCTGAGTTCATTTATTCTAATAAAATTTTTGGGGTGTTAGGCTGAGTTCTATATATAAGATCTTTTTGTCTACAAAATGAAAATGTGACTTCCTTTTTTCCCATTTTTATGACCTTTATTTCTTTCTGTTGCTCTGGATAGCATTTCTAGAGCTGTGTTGATTAAAGGGGTGAAATTGGGCATCCTTGTCTTGTTCCAGACCTTGAAAAGATTGCAGCTTTTCCCCTTTCAGTATAATGTTAACTGTTGGGTTATTATATATGGCCTTTATTATATTGACATTCATTCCACCTATACCTAATTTGTCCAGTGTTTTATAATGAAAGGATGTTGAATTTTATCAATGTCTTTCTTAGATGTGGTATATCACATTTATTTCCTTTGTATGTAAAACCATCCTTGGGATTAACCCCACTTGGTCAATGTGCTGTTGGATTCCATTTACTAGTATTTTGTTGAGGATTTGTACATCCATATTCATCAAAGTTATTGCCCTGTAGTTTTGTTTCTTTCTTGTGGTTTTTGTTTTTTTAGGTCCTTATTTGATTTTTGTGTCAGGATAATGCTGAATCAGAATGTATTTGGAAGAAATTTTACTGATATACATACATTTATATCCTATGCATATATGTGCATTTTTAGGGTTATCAATCTATAGGAAACACATTGCAAAGAATTCATATTGATGCAGTAAGAGCAGTGGTCATCTCCAAATGGTTGGAATATAGGTAAAGGATGTTTAGATTTTTCTGTTTATTTCTCTTGATTTTTGGATTTTTTTGTAAATTTAAAATAGGCATTTATACCACAAAAGGGATAAAGGATCATATTAATGATCCTTATGTCACAGTATGTTCATAATTTGGGATACTACCTTCAGTGTCTTACTACTGGATTGATTATATATAATTGAATCTCCCATTTTGCATGTTTATTTCTAGGCTACCGCAATATATAAATATCTTATGAGGTCATTAAACTTACCATTTATCTTAGTTATTTTTTTGTCGTTGTTGAGACAAAATACCCAACGCCCAAAATTAAGGAAGGAAAGGTTTATTTAGCTCACAGTTTGTGGAGGTTTTCAGTCCATACTTGGCTGGCTCTAAGGCAGGGTGGCACATGGCAGACAGGAACAGTTCATGGTGGCAGAAGATAGCAAAAGCAGCAAGAGCAAAACAGGAGAAAAAAAAAGAAATTCCTGTGGCAAACAAGTTTATAGAAAAGTGTTCAAAATCATTACCTGGCAAGTATATACATCTGTTTCAGTTAGAATGACTATTATCAAAAGGACAAAAAAAAAAAATCTATAAAAAGCAAGATAAAACCAAAAAATGCAAGCATGGTGCCACACATCTGTAACCTCATCACCGTGGAGGCTGAGGCTTGGATTGCCATAAGTTTGAGGCCAGCCTGGGCTACATAGTGAGTTTAAGGCTAGCTTGCACTGCAAAGCAAAACACTAACAAGCAATACTGGTGAGAATGCAGACAGAAGGGAACTCTTATACACTGTTGGTAGAAATGTAAATCCCTCCAGTTTCTCTCCCTTCCTTTTCTTGATCCCTTTCCCATTTGAGAAAGGTATATTGCCCTACTTCCTCTTAGCTATCTTTTGTTTTGCTCTTTATTTATATTTTTGGTTTCTCATATAAGGGAAACCATGCAATATT